TAAACGGTGTAGACGGTGTAAACGGTGTAAACGGTGTAGACGGTGTAACGAGAAATCGTGGACACTGATTGCGCCAGCAATGTGCAATCACCATGCTGACTGCATCAAAAAAATGCCTAGATGAAAGGATTGCTATATTCTGTCTAATCTCCACCCTCCCCAGACCCTCCCCACGACTATGTCCTGCAGTAGGCTGCCAGACCAAAGCAGCGGAGGTGTCGGCAACGTCTGCGAGGTTGTCGAAAAGCCACAACTGCTTTTGGATAAGTGAGCAAGTTGAGCTCAACACTCCCCTTTCACACACAAGTGTTCAGGGGTTGTCAAGCTCTAGCTACTTAAGATAAGATATGAAAAGATCTATATATATATATACTTCCAGTAAGAGCATCCAATTCAATTCATGAAAATAGACTCTCTGTCTAGCATTTCTGACACCCAGGATAGCCAAAATCCCATTGGAAGAACACCATCGAAACGGCTTTGCATCACAACATTCTCAAGTAATGTATGCTGCAGAATCCACTACTCCTGAGCAAGGGCAAGGAGATTACCCTGAGGACCACGAGTGCATGACTCTGGTTCTGAGCGGCCATCGACACATGACAGAGCAACAACGCCCATGAACTTCTGAAACTCTAGAAGAAACAAACAAATACATACATACATACATCACATCACGTCACGTCACATCACATCACATCACATCACATCACATCACATCACATACATCCCTACATTACCATACATTACCATACCAACCATACCATGCCAAACTATACCATAGCATACATTACATTACATTGCACTACACTACATTACATTACACTAAACGTTGTATTCGATTACAATACAATACAATATACAATGTCCAATGTACAAAATATACAATACAATACGATACGATACGATACGATACAATACAATACAATACATACATAACGATACCATACCAAACCTTGCACTACATTACATACACTCATTTCTTTCAGTTGAGACGCTGATGTCCATCTATATAAGCTCCATCGGCCTGCCGCGGGCTGGTCGCTCCACCCGCTCCAGGGCCACAGGGCACAACAAGGACAAACGTCGTGAGGCCTAAAACGCACGCATCAGAGAGCACACCGACAACGTTATAGATTAAAATCTGGAGTGAAGAGTGCGAAAACGACCTGTGTGGGGAACATTGATGTTGGAGAGAGAGAGTTGCATGGTTTGCTTTTGAGTCGCGAGGGTGTTCCAGGATGACTGAATATCATGGAAGGTGACTGGGCATGTTTGAGTCATACAGCCGTGTTTGCCATTAGTCATTAGTCATTCAACAAAATAACTTCAACAGGAATTCTTTGTCCTATGCAAGATCCTTTAAATGATCCGGCACATTCATTCTGCTGGCATGTGCTTGTTGCTCCAACACTGACAGATCGGATCTTTTCCAATTAAGGTCCGCACCACATACTCCAGGCCATCCTGACAACGTTGAATTGATGCCATCCAATTTAGTTGAGGTCTTCCTTCAAGAACTGTCCCTTCCTTCACATCTGAGATCAGTTTCGATCGAAACTCTCAGTGCAGGGGTGGTCGGGCGTGGGCGGGTCTGCATTTGACCTGCTAAGCAAGGATTCAAGTGTTGGGCGTCAATCTGTCATGCATAGCACAAATGAATCCCGAAGTTGGTGGTCAATGCCCCTCGCACTACAAAGAGTGGGTGCACCAGTTGTCTGGAGAACAACGATTCCCGTTGATGCACGCCTTTCTGCCTGAAAAGCTGGGCAGAATCGACTTTTCTGCACTGATGCTCAAATGTGTGGGTCTCAAGCCTTTGCTGCTCTATGTAAGTCTGAAACACTCATTCCATCTATGAAAGCCCAAGCCCAAGCAGTTACCTTGAGCGTGCGCTGGCAAGCAAAGCAACGCAACGCAAGGCAAGGCAAGGCAAGCAAAGCAAGCATCACTCTAACGCTCAAAAAAATCAATATAAAACACCAGGAGTCTAGGAGGCAAAAGCCGCGATTAGCTCCAACTGAATAGTAGGGAGTACCAAACGAAGGAACCAACTCCCGCACTCATTGGACTGGCAATGGGGCTATCTGAGTCGATGTTGTTTGATGTGGCATGATGTGGCGCAGCAAGGCCTCTTCGGCCTCTTCGCTGTCGCGCAGCAAGGCCATCAACCCGGCGCGGGCTGCTCGAGGTTCCTGCCTACAAAGGGAGAGCAGCTGGTAATTGGAGCGACAGTCATTAGGACGCTATTAGGTGGAGGCCATCGCAGGTAGGTTGGAGGCCATCGCTACTAGTAACAAGACAATCTGAGAAGAAAATTGTAGGACTTGAACAGCAGAAACGGGAACACCGACCAACACCTGTTCACCGGCTTCAGTGTGATTTCCGCTTAAGTGATACAAACTGAGGGCAGGAACAGGCAAATTGAAGTGTGCACCCCAACAAAGTGTTTGCTCTTCACTTCACATGACATGTGATTCGATGGTCTGAGATGCCCGCAATCTGAGAGGTTCAGCCGGAGTAGTGAATAGTTTGGGTGGTAGCAGTCTTCCCTCCCGCACGCCTAGCCACCTCCATGCAAAGTCGCCGCGGCGCTTTGGGCACGGCCCGGACCAAGCCCAAGGCCAAGCCCTGGGCTTCGGGGAAGCGAAGCCGGAAGGCCTCAGATGGTCGGTGGGTCACTCAAGCCGGCATTGGATTTTCAAATTGATCTACAAGAAAAAATAACAAATAGTCAAACTATTTCAAACTCAACAATTATCAATTATGATGGTGTCTTTACCCCTTGGCGCTTCACATATACCAATCCCACGCACCTTTGAGCCATTTTAGAGCCTGCGAAAACAACTGCCAAGCTGTGCCGAGCGTCATTGTTTCCCGTCCTCAGGAGCGTGGTCAAATCTTGCGGCACGTCGCGGCGACGGTGGCCCTGAAGGAGCGCGGCGGTTGAACTTTTTCAAGATCGCCAGTGACTGGCGCAGTGAGACCACCCTAAGTCCTGAGTGACCAAGAATATCCCAAACGCCCACCCCTTGAGCTCAGACATGGAAGCTAAAAGGACGAAATGAAAAGAAAACCAAGAATCCCCGGCTGAGTCCTGTGGCTTGGCTCTCAAGCCACAGAAATTAGTGGAGACAACATAAAACCAGACATTGCCGTGGGTGTAAGGAAGTTGCACCGAAGGAAATGCCCTGCAACCCACATCCGTAGCAGCAACCAAGCTGCCTTCTCCGGTGGTGCGATGCGAAATAGCTGACATCCATCTGCCTGCTCGGCCCAAAAAGAATGTAAACCTCCCAAAGAAGCGCCAGCGCCTCTTTTCCAAATTGAAACCCCAACAGCTTGTAACCACCAGTCACTGACCACTGGAAACGATGCCCACTGAGCCAATCATATCCTGCTCTTGCACTTTCACAAAGGATGTGTTCAAACGGTCGTTGTCAATTGTCCTTGCACTTCCACGTGTCAGGCCAACCCCCAGTAAAGCTGTCAATGCTTTGCGCAGTCCACGTGCATCAAACGAAAAAAAGGACAGAGCAACACGATATTCGTAGAACCAGAGACTTCTTGACTTCCTCAACCCAAACTGTCTGAAAGCCTCAACAAGGAGTTCCTCCGGCCACACTTGGAAGAGCTCCTCTCTCGTTCAAATTTTCTCTTCAAATCCAACGAAGTGTCTTCACTTTTGATAGAAATTATGAAAACACGTACTAAATCATGATGTAACACGGTATGTTTGGCGCAAGCAGTTGCAAATCCTGAACATACTGGCGCTTAAACTATCGAGTGAGAGAGGGGAGAAAAAATACACACACAGCATGCACATTCCATTTTGCCCAAACAAAAAACACTACGTGAAGCTCAACCAAGACCAAAACTAGTTGGCCAGTGGAGTTTTTTGACAAATATGTTATTCCACCATCTTTGCTTGACCGTGCAAACCCGTCCTTGCTATCAACTTGGAGCATTCGCAGCCAAACAGTCTGGCCAATGTGCACACAACTGAAGACAGGGAAGTCAATACCTAATCCCGAGATGTCACAACATATTGAATGCAAAGGACAATAAAACACAAAAAATGGTGGCAGTTTGTGGAAGCTGCGGAACTGCGGAACCGGCCTCACCGGCATCTCTCCATTCCTGCAACTTGGGGACGTTCCTCGGCTCAAAACAACGCCAATGGCATGTTATGAGGCAGCGGTTCCAATCAGCTTCACCAAAGTGCCTTGTAAGCCCTGGGAAGCTAAACCAAAGCTTTCAACAAAAACCTCCACTTGTTCGAGCCGTCCCTATGGTGGCACAAAGGGGCCAAGTGTCACTTCAAAGTCATAGCCGCTGACACCAAGCAATGCGCAGTGCAGCACTCCATCAGCTGGCACCTGGCTAAAGCCGTGATCGTGGGACATGAGTCTCCAACCATGACAACTGCAAAAAACAATCCTTCCCATTCAACCCTTGGTGTATTGTTCTTGTACGTCCATGGTGAGCCGCCTCTGCCTGAAGAGGTGTTAATCATGACTACCCTAAACCCGGGTGAAGGGCAGTAGTTTGAAAGGCACTGCTTTGGCGACAAACACCGCACCGGATCCGGTCAGCCGGCGAGGCGACCGGATCTGGGCAATGCAGACCGCAATTGATGAGAGCATCTCATTCAGTGCGTCCTGACAAATCCTCAGCAAGGAACAGTCAGGCCACCTGAACCAAAAAGGACAACACTGGCTTTGATAGCACTGCACGGCAAAGCTGCGAAGTAACCCATCCTGCCGCACAAGCACAAGCACGAACCTCAAGAACCGGACACTTTTCGGGCCAATCAAACATCACAAAAGCACCGCGAGCCCTCAGACCTGGTCTTTGCTCGTGTGCTTCTGCGCGCCACCTGCGCTGAATCCACTCGATGTTTTCTGGCTTCAGTTTCCCACTCTTGGGCCCGAGCAGGTTGCCCCGCTCGCGTTGGCGGCTCAAGGCTTGTGCACAAGTGGATACGCATTTCTCGGAATCCTTCTTCCATAGTATGGCATCGATACTTCTGACGCTCCTACTTGCTGTTTCTTCTGCATCCGCTTCATGGTCTGATGGACTGCCGCTCTCTCGCCAGCATTGGGCTCACATCTGCAAGCATGGCTGGGGCCAAGGCTGTGGCGGAAAGCTTTGTCACGTGCTTTGTATGCCGTATTGGGTCGCCTCACCGGGCTGCGCAGTGAGGGTTCTTCGCAGCTTCGCGGGCTGCTTTGCGTCCTTCCTCCTCCAGCTTTGCCTGCACTTCGCCTGCTTGTGCATGAACTCGCAGTTCTTTATTCGCACCCAAGCCGTGGATCGTCTTCACAAGAGTGGCAAATCTCTGGTTGCTCCTCGTCCGATGCCTTTGAAGATCTGGCCGTCTGGAGTTTTTGGTATAATTGGGTGACGAGAATCGGTCTTGAGACAAAAAACTGTATCAACTATGTTTACATATGTTCTGTAGAACCTCTTGGGGATGGTCATGGTCAGCCCCGTTTCCCCTTTACATTCTCAAGAAACGGGGGGAGGCTGACCCAAATCATAGATGATAAGATTGCCAAGCTGCTACGGTCTTGATGGTTGTGCCACTGCTCACTGATCCATGGCTTAACCCATGTCACCTTCGCTCTGGCCTTCCCTCTCGCCTTCGCTCTCACCTCTGATGCCCACTCTCAACTTTGCGTTCCCTGTATGCCTCATTGAAGGGATCCATGGCCCGGAAGCGGCAACTGGGACACCAAAAGCTTTGGGCATCTCCACGATATTGCCTTCAAGGAGATCAGGACCCGCCCTCTTTGTCTGGTCTATCAAGACTCTCTCGGCAAATAAAAACTGGCTCCTCTCCAAACACCTTGTTCGATTGATCCCTGCATTTCAGCGGTGTGATGCAGTCCTTTTTTTCGTCAATCTAACGGGCTATCTGGCGGCTATCTGAACTCTTTCAAGGCTGCCTTTCGCTACACAACGTGGATGAAGGTTTGGCTTGTTACAACTTACAACGCTGCAAGCGGCGGGAGCTCCACCCATCCCATCTGCAAGTCCGAGCGTCACTTTTTCCAAATTGAAAATCACTGAGCAACACCTCAGTGATCGGGATCGTAAAAATCTGCAAGTTAGACCCACAAGCACAGGCGAGAGATTTATCAAGAAGTTCACAAGAAGTTCGCTGCTGCAGCTTTTACAAACATGCGCTCCGTTTAGAATTCTTTGGATCCCTTAGACCCCTCTTACGACTCACTCTCAAAAACATGTCAGAAGCTGATGCGGGTTCCAGCACTCAGAAGTGCACACACAGCGCAGCACTCGAAAGCTTTGCACTTGCGCATCAAGGCCCGGGACAGATGACCTTGGATCGAGCGGAATCGAGTGGCTTTCCTCTACGTCAACGTCGTGGTCCTTGAGAGCCACAAATTGGTGAGCTATACAAGGAAAGTCTATGAGCCTGACTATTCTGCATGAGTGACATGGGTGATCAAGCAAGTGCTGCACAGCAAAAGTCCTCTTTCAAGGTCAAATCAACAAAGTAAGCAAGGCCTACCTAGCTCAAATAATAAACTCTTTGCCCCGTGTGCATGTTTTGACGCTCTTTCCACGCCTGCCCATTCATGCATCATTTGGTGACCATTCAGAAGCATTGCTCAGTCCACCTTGATAGAGCCATAGATTGTCCTGACAAAGTAGAAGGAAGCCGTCAATCCAATCGATCCCGTCAGCAAGCCAAAGAGCAAGGACATGATGAACATGTAGCCGAAGTACATCAGAGTTGAGACAAGCTTGTCAATCTGAAGTCGGGTGCTAAAGTACATCATGGAGTACAGAAACACATAGACGGCTGAGGACGCACTCGCCATGAATGCCCTCCACCACCAATTGTAGTTCTCCGCTGTAAGCTGGAAGTACGTCAAGGCAATGGAGATCTCTGCACAGGTGATCAGAAGAATCACAAGCACTAATGCAAGAAAGCCGAAGAGGTAGTAGAATTGGTGCTGCCACAAGGAAGACATGATGAAAAAGAGCTCTGTAAAGACTGCCCCAAAGGGCAGCACCCCACCAACTGCACAGGTGAAGACTGGCTGCATAAACCAAGCCTGCAAATGTTCAAACACCAAATGAGCAACCCCCTTGTCAAGACCCCACACTGGTCAGGACGAACCTGGCCCAATCTTGAGTTGTATGATACTTTTACAGTTCATATGATGCTTTGACATGCTCAGATGAGATTGTACGCCAGCTGTTAAGTTTCCCGAAAAATCTAGGAACTAAATCATTAGTGCGAGCGCTTTCTCAGGAAGCTCCCCCCCGCCGCCTTTGGGGCGATGGGGTGAGCTTCCTTGAAGATGCGTGAGCTATCCTGCGTCCTAGAAGAAAGCTTTAGCAAGGTGGTTACTAGCTACCTCTTCGCGGCACACCCTTTCCCCCGCGGGCTAAAAACAAATGCCTCCGTGTTTCACCCTGGCTGCCTGGTTTGGGATCTGCCTTGGCACATGATTCGTGCGCACCGGCAGCTCGATCGCCTCTCGGCGGAATCCGAAGTAGGAGCCAAGAAAGACCAAGGGCACTGAGATGCCAAACCACAGCACGAGCACCGCGAACATGGTAGGGAAGGGAACCGCACCAGAGGACTTTTGTCCCCAAATGAGGAGGTTCAGAACGAAGAAGACAAGAAAGATAAGCCCTGGGTACAGTGTTGCTGTCATCAGCGTATTGGTCTTCCAGTCCTCTCCGTTGAAAACCTTGTAGAGTCGCGCAGAGGAATAGCCGCCAAAGACCCCCATGAAGGTGAAGAGCATCATCATGGACTGCAGGAGACCGCCTCTGTGTGCTGGCGAGAGAAACCCGAATAGGGCAAAAATCAGCGTCACCACCGACATACCTAAGATTTGAATCCCTGAGCCCACAGAGACAGCTAGTAGCTTGCTGAAGCGCGGCTTCCGAAAGACATCGCCATGCACCAGCTTCCAGCCGGTCTCCTCTGCGGCTTCCTCGGCTGTTGCGAGCTCATTGTACTTGGTGATATCGCGATACAATGTCCGCAACAGGATCATAGCTACCATGCCTGACAAGAAGAGCATGATCATCAAGGAGTTCAAAATGGAGAACCAATGGATCTTGTCTCCGGTCATCTTCAGGTAGTTGTCCCACCTAGAGACCCAACGAATCTCACTTTCTTCCCAGCTCACATCAAAGGTAAAAATCACCTCTGGGTACTTATCCAAGTCCATCAAGGTATCCTTGTCCTCCTCCTGGCACACCGCCTTCTTGCCACCCGGTTCACTAGGATCTACTTGTGTGGCTTGCACGATACTGTGCGGTTCAACCTCGAAGCCAACGATGCGTGACCCTTCAAAGTCCTCACTCTTGTGGAACTTCAACAAGAACTTCAGGTGGTTGTAGATGTAATACTTCCCGTTCTTTTGAACTCCAATGGGGAAGCCGTTCATGTACATGTACTCATTCCCATCACTCCTGCGAATGTATTTTGTTGCTGCTGGGAGATTGTCTACAATCATGTTCACCATGTAGTCATCGTCAATCCTGGCTCTGAACCTATCTTTGTCATTTTGCTCAAGTTTTTGCGTACAAAGAAGCTTGCAATTGACCTTTTCATTCATGCGGAGGTCATAGGGCGAGTTCTCTATGAGGTCACCGGCCATGATCTCGCCGAGGTTCTCCACGCTCTCTACCACTTTTTCGGGCTTGCAGAAGGGCAGTGTGTAGTAGCCGTATGGAAGCTGCGTCTTCACAGACGTGAGCTTATTCACCTGCCAGGGAGTTCTTTATGCACTGTGTGGGATGACATTCTACTTTTCCCGGGACACTCCCTGACCTTAAGATCGACCCGTGCACCATCTTCATATTGGGTTGGCGCTACTCCTGGCAAGTAGAACGTCCGAGCAGTGTCAAGGACGCCCAAAACAACAATTTTGGCCAGCATCTTTGGCTGAGACTTGCCACTTTGACTTTCCTCAACTTGTGCCAAAATGGCTCCTTGGGAAAGGTGCTTGGCCTTGTGCTGTGACGCGGCTTTTGTGTCTGATCTTGGTTCTTGAAAAATACTGCTTGTGTGCCTGTCAATGTGTTACATTAATTATATAGATATACCCTAAAGAGGCTGGTGTACAAAGTCTCAAGAACAAAAGTACGACATGAGTGAGACAGCCGTCAGCCAGTGAAACCCTTCTTCCGCTCCACCAACGTCATGTCCGTCGACAAACAATTCGAAGGCATCCAGCGTCATCCAATCTTTCCGCCAAGTTGCTGAAAGACCAGCTTCTTTTCCTCCGCAGTCTTCTCGATCTTTGCCACCTTTGTTTGGCTTCCAAGATGCGGGTTGCCAGCTATGCCCAAGGTAGATCGCCGCCAGTTTCAAGCATTGACTGACTTTGACATGGAAGCTGTGTAGCTTTTTAGCAAACTACTTGGCATGCGATTCCCACTTCCAGCGCATCCCGCACGAATTCCAGCCCCGAATCTGCCTTGCTAACAGGCTCCTCCGCCTGAATGGAGGGTGCAAGGTTGAAAGAAGAAAATGTGTACTCCATTGGAAGCAGCCACTACTCCCCAACTGACATTGCTAAGCGCAAATCTTTGACTCTTTCGGGGAGGTTTGGCCACGAAGACCTGTGGGGGGAGTAGTAAAGTACTGTAGGAGGCGTCGAAAAGGTAGAAGGTAGGCAGCTAGTAGCAAGAAGATAAAGGAAGTATGCTATCAAGTGTTAGGAAGCAAGGATGAAAAAGGGCCCGGGGGTTCCTCAAGGAAACTTCCTCAGCTTGAGTGTGGGGAAATCCTTGAAGAACCCTCTCGCATCAACACATTATCTAGATATTGGGAAACCAAACATAACTAAACACTATCAAATGATCAGATACTATCAGTATCTCAAGTGTCCTGAGTGTTTCTCGAAATCCTAAGGGATGCTTCCAAATCTCCAAGGGGAAGACTTCGTTTGTAGTCTTCGAACTTCACGATCAAATCCGACACTTTTCAGACACTGTTCAGTTGTTAATTCTAATAGTTTTTTTGTTACTACTAGTAAGGCACTTGTTACTACTAGCGTGGCACCTGTTACTACAAGAATTCTAAAGGTCTAGAGGTCTGGAGGCCACTTCACTTCACAGAATCTCTTCTTCTTAGTAACAAGAAGCTATTAGTAACAAGTGCATCGCTTCTAGTAACAAGTGCCTTACTAGTAGTAACAAGAAGCTATTAGAAACTTGTTACTACTAGCGAGGCACTTGTTACTACTAGTAAGGCACTTGTTACTAAAGCCACTTCACTTCACAGAATCTCTTCTTCCCCTTCGCTTCCTGCCTCCTTCGGACGCCGTTTCGACAAAAGGCGCTCTACGATGTCGGCCTCGAGACAGGAAGGTCGTTTCAACGACATGGTGGAATTCAAGAGTTGCTGTTCTCTCTTTGTTTAGACCTGTAGATATGTCTCATGTTATGTGTTTTCTTGTCTCCGTTCTTCCTTCTTCCTGTTTAGTTAGATGTAGAGAGGTAAACTTATACTTCTCAAACGTGGTGTGACCGCAGGCAAGGTCGCAAAACAGGATATCGCCTGCATTAAATATCACGAAATCAACCTGTGTGGCCTTCAACAAACCTTTTGGGGAAAAATGTGCTTGAAGAAATGTTATAAAAGCCTAACCCATCCGGCGGCTGCCGCCCAATTCAGCCTTGTTGGCACCTTTTTCCACACTAAGGCCTTTTGCGCGACAAAGGCCCTGCCTGGGATCCAACCGATCGACGCTTATTCAACTTGTTCTTCACAAAGTTTTATGCTACAAAAGTGCCCTTGAGGAAGAAGTAAATATGCTATATGCTTTTTACAAGGTTATCAACTCTATGGAAAATGTCCATGTGTTTTGATCTTAGCGGCAAGAGCGGCAGGGACAGGGCTGAAAGTTTGCTACGCTCGCATGCCATGGAGTGCAAAGAGCTGCAGGGTGATGAAAGGCTGCAAGCGGCTGCAATTAGAAAAGATGGAGAAAAGAAAGGTGTCCCAAATGCATCCAGTGCTACCAAGGCATCGACTATGTTCTTCTAGGGCATACAAAAAATTGTAGCGTGCAGCTACGTGTAGAGCAAGTGTGTGTCCTGCACACACTCACGAACTGAGGCATACATTAAGCTTTGATGCATCGATAAACCACTTACAAAGTGAGAAGCACTTTGCATCTAGTCACATCAATCACATCATGAACCCAGTCACATCAGAGTCAAATCCATGCTCTCAATCATGAAAGAGACTATATATATATATATACATCTGCTACGCGCACGCACCAGCTCCTTTTCATTTGCCTCTAAGGAAACAACATAGCTCATATGTCGTCCTTGAGCCGAAAATTGCAGTGTCTCTCTCCCTCCCTCTCTCTGCCAAAGACTCGTTTAATTCAGTCTTCTCAAACATCTTTTTGAGAGAAACCAGCTACCTTCCGTTGCAAGTCCCTCTGCCCCTCTTTTCCTGAACTGGCAACTCCTAGCCGAAGACAAACGGCGCGACAACTGACGGATGGGCAGCAGGACATCACTGTGAGGATGACTCACAAGGTGTCACAAAGACGGGTTTTGGATCCACAGGCCCCAAGCATTATTGTGTTTAGAATCAAGATATATATATATATATAAATGTATATACATGGTGAAATCTACACGAGGCCTCAGAAGTTGCATTCTGGTTCGAGTTCTGTCACTGTTCTGTCACTGTTCAATCCGATTTTGTCTTGGGATCTGATGGGGCACTGCGAGGACTCTTCACCGTCGCTCGGCACCCACTTGCGCGGCCCGCCAAGCTGAAGTGCAGGGGTTGGATTTCGTGGCAAAAGGGCCAGGGAATGGCATCAAAGCGGAGCAAAAGCCAAATGAATCAGTTGCAGAGAACACAAAGCATGCTTTGATTACTTTGATCTATCTATATACATCATTCAAATGAGCTTGGCCAACTGGATCAACCTCAAATACCACGAAAAATTACATGACAATGCACATATAATGTGCTGTCGGGAACGAAACCCTGGCACGGAACACGGAACAAGGCTACAAGCCAACAGGATCATGTCTTCCCCGTTAAACATATGAATTCCCTTAAATTGGAAAGCACAACGCAATGACAGAACAAATTTTGTGCCAAGCCTAGGTTGTACTGAAGCCTAAGTTGACACAGGGACGCAGGACAACGATCCTTGCTTCATGAGAATCGGTGCTTCTTGGTGGAGCCAGAAACCTACACTGAATGTAAAAATTGCGCTGCGTGACGTGCCGACGAGGAACGAGGAACAATGTTCTGATGCGTATCTATCTCGGCCAAAGGCCACATGTGTGCTTGCGGCATGCAGAAACCCTCAAAGGTTAGTTTTCTTCAGCCTCCGATTCCCCTATGACAAGTATCCTACAAAACCTCCGTCTTGTGAAACTCCTGCATGCACTCATCCACCAATGCCAGAAGAAAACCCGACTGCGAGGCAATCATGCCCAGCAGCGCTGCTCGCTGCTGCTTCTCAAGCCGTCCTGCGAAGTCTTGAGGCAAGGAGTCCTCACAGTCCTCACGTTTCTAGATGGCCTTCAACCTAAAAGCAATGGCCTCCAACCTACTAGCGATGGCCTCCAACTTAATACCCATTTAGAAAACCATTAAACACTTTAGGAATGAGTGGCCATTGCCTGAGGATGACCAATCGAGCAAAAAGCGTGATGCAGCGATGCGCATAGACAGTCACATGTAATGCCACAACACAAGTGTCCTTCTAGGGGCACACTCCAACTTCTAAGCACTTGTGACTCTCAAACACACTCGCCACTTCACGTGGCGTTTTTTCTTGCACTTTCTGGAACCAGGGAAACCTCAAAGGACTACGCAAGTTTCGAGGACCTCTAAGCCTCCTCCTAAATCCACGGCTCCCAATCTCAAGTCAAACATAAATGATGGTTTATGGTGTGTGTGACCCTTGGAGTCACAGGGATCCTGACGGATTAGGCAGTTTTCAGCAGGGGCAGCAGGCAGTCCACACTTCTGCTGCCAACGAAGACAGCTGTGGATACTCCGTGACGCAGATTGGGACGCCAATCTGTGTACCTGCTTTTGAGAACCTATATAAGTATGGCAAAAGCTGTCCAATACGTTGTTTCTGCGCTTCGTGTCTTTGCGATTAAAGGACTAACGGTTAACGCAGCGGCAAGTCATTTCGGCTTTGCTGTGGAGGCATTGGAAGTTCCGTGGAGTCTTTCAGTTTTGTAACTTACCTGAACCCTTAGGCACTTGGTTACCTAGGTCGCCGTGCGGCGAGCGGCATTCACATTCGCACGCGTTTCTATAAGTGTGTCTCTCCTCGTGAGAGCCCAGGGTGACCCCGACGAGTGGCCCCTGTGGACCCGTTGAACGGGGGGCGTCGACCGTATCCCCTGCTCAGATACAGAGCAGCTCGCAGCGAGCGTAGGTGGCTTGTACCAAATTCATTTGTCAAGACTTGATGGATTATTGAACTCCAAGTAGGCAGTCTTCAGACACACCATGAGGTGACCAAAGCGGTCAGCAGTAGGCAGCCTTCGGGCACGCCACCACGTCGTCGCTAGGTGCACACACAGCGCATACATTCAAACGAGGCGAGGTCTACCCAAATCTTTCCAATCCTGTCCACCTATTAAGAAACACGCCGGCCCCCCGGATTAAGAGAAACTCGGTCGCAAAATTTAAATAGGGGGTCCCTGAAATCGGAGGGGTCAAAAATAGGGTCACCTAAAAAGAGCTCCAAAACCAAAAAGTCACCCGTAAAATCCTTTTTTGAACTCGTATCAAAAATTATCCCAGCTGGAGACCCCAATAGCAAGATACAGACCGGGCCAAAAAGAAAAATCTGGAAACAGCTGCTGTTTTCAACACATCGACCATCTCTTCCTTGGACACCATCATCACATAACCGGGACACCATCACAAAATGACCAGGGCACCATCAAAACATGACCAAGACACCGTCACAACGTGACTGGGACACAATAAAAACATGATCGGGACACCATCACAACATGACCGCGCCACCATCACATGATCGGGACACCATCAAAACATGACCGGGACACCGTCACAACA